AAACATTCGTTGTGTTAACCGATTTCAATTGCTTTTCTTTGATTTGTTAATTGCAACCAACTGAAAGTTTGCCAATTTTGCCAATAATCCTGATTTGCAATGGGGGTTGGGTGATTTTAATGACAAATATATATATATCTCTCTAATACACAGGAAAGAAGCATGAAAACTGCAAAATGTAAAAGAAATTTAAAAAAAAAGCCGAAAAGGAAATTGTGCAATAATGAAAGTAGATGTTCAAATGATAGAAACATTACTTTCAATATTAAAATAACCTGTTGCGGTGAGAGCTGTGCATCGCTCGCTCACGTGCTGAGCTACATGCCAATCCCTCTAAACTTACATAGAGAAGCTGAGGGCTGTGCGATGGCCGAGGCCTTATATGAAATCAGCTGCTCTGAGAAGGGCCGGCAATGAAAGTTGCAGCCATACCTACAGGTTGCGTTCTGTGATTATCTGTGGCTGGACCTCCTCCAACCCCCGGTGTGTCTACACTTGGCTGATTTCAGATAAGTACTCAGACATCACACAGCCCTTACTTCTTTCTTTAAGAGCCCGTGGAACGTGCATCGAAAAACAAACTTCCCGCTGTGAACAAAAAAAGAGAACCGTGAAATCACAGTACACAAAAACGTGCACAAGGGTGCAAGGGCCTTCAATAAAGAAGGGACCTGGATTCCCGACCCCCCGGGGCGCAAGGCTCCTGACAGGGGTTGAGACTGTTGGTCCACCAACCCGAAGGCCGGTGGACCCCGATCCTTTAGGGACCTGCCGGAACAGGTCCCACAGAGTACTAGGTAGGGTGCTCTCCCGAAGAGAGACCCCCCCTGGGTGGGAGGAGACAGAGAACCCTATATTAGGGCACAGAATCTCCTCCCCACATCAGGAAAAGACCCCAAAGGAACCTGCACCCGCTGCATCTGTGGGTCAAAAAACGCTTTTAAAAAAAGCCAATCGTACATCGTGCATTAAGTGCAATAAATGATAGTAAAGTGCCAGTGCACCACTCTGACAGGCCTTAGGGGCCGGAGTGCAAAAATATTGCCCCGGACTAGCCATAAGGCCTGTCCAAGAGGCGATGTGCAGAATATGCAAGGTGGTATGTGACCAAGTGCATCTGTGAGTCAATGTGGGGTCCCTTACTTACAGCCCTTACTCTTTTTTAAATTTATCTTTAAGAGCCCGTGGACGTGCATCATAAAACAAACTTCCCCCTGTGAACAAAAAAAGTGAACCGTGAAATCACAGCACACAAAAACGTGCACAAGGGTGCTTGGGCCTTCAATAAAGAAGGGACCTCGAATTCCCGACCGCCCGGGGCGCAAGGCTCCTGACAGGGGTTGAGATACTTTGGTCCACCAGCCCGGAGACTGGCGGACCCCGATCCTTCGGGGACCTGCCGAAACAGCTCCCACCCAGTACTAGGTAGGGAGCTCTCCCGAAGAGAGACTCCCTGGTTCGGGAGGAGGCAGAGAACCCTATATTAGGGCACAGAACCTCCTCCTCTGCATCGGGAATAGGCCCCCCGAAGGTACCTGCACCCTAGCACTCTGTGGGTCAAAATTTACAAAAACACAAAAATGTGCCAATCGTGCATGAGGTGCAATAAATAAAGGAATAGTGCCAGTGCACCACGCTGACAGGCCCTAGGGGCCGGGTGCTAAAAAATTGCCCCGGACTAGCCATAAGGCCTGTCCAAGAGGCGTTGTGCAAACTTCTCCTGTTGATGAAGTTAATGAGCGGAAGGCTGTAAATGAATAGCTCCTGTCTTGAGCTGGCCATACACCTTACAACCATCGCACGACTTCCGCTGAGCGGAGGGCTTGCCAATGATTGCAATGCTGAGCGGGCTGTGTGCGCTTGCGCACACCGGCCCGTGCGGCATTCGTCTTCCGAGCATGCCACAAACTCACCGAAAATCGTACGATCTGTCTAAGATGGAGCGGTGTCTCCTGGGACAGGAAATGAAGGGAAATCTCTGGGTGGAGACAGGCAGGAGATTTATTTCCTATTCTGTCCAAGTTTTTTTTGGCTTTAGATTCACTTGAACATTCACCAGAGATTGTGATCTGCGTTCAGCGCGCTCTGCAGAGACTTCCGTCGGACCCTCGGCTGTGTCCAGCGATCTTTGCTCACTCGTTAATGTGTAGTATCTATTCCATCTTCTAAACCAAATATTTACCTTCATGTCCCTCCCAGCAGAACACAGGGGACGGAGGGGAGGAAATCGGGGGATCTCTGGCTGGAATCTTTATAGAAGTGAAAAGAACTCGGTGATTTCCCGCTACAAGGACACTCATCTCCAATATACTGAGCAAGAACATGTGTCGTGTCACCGATGGTTACTTTAACGATCTGGGGGGCAGATGGTTAAAGTAACACCAAACATGGGAATGAAATCTTAAAAATACATTGAAGTCCCCGAACTCTGAACAACAATGTATCTTATTTGTGTATCACTCGGCTGTAGATCCTCCAATCATCTCTGACACTGTCCTTCCTTCTGGAGGGGGGCTACGTCTGTTCCCAATGGTCCCTGTGTGTGCTGCAAAGTAGTCACCGCTCCATGCTCACCCCCCGGGATGGACTACAATCGCAATACAAATGAATAAACTAAAAGTGAGATCTGGCCCTTTCCTCCGCAGCCTGACTGTCCCTGGCCCCGCCTCTTTCATTCATTGGATTTCAGTTCGTTCTATCGTGGAGGCTGAGCATCCTATATGGGTGGTCTGCGTGCAAATGCAGCCTGCCTAGGAACACCCACTCCTCCAGACTGACACCCGCACATCAAGGCATTTTGATATTTGCATAACTCCTCCCAAGAGCCGGCCCACTGCTTGTGTCACGGCTGGGGGGGGGCTATTGAGGTGAGTACTGAGGCCGGGTGCCGTGATGTTTCAGGAAGCTATATACAGCACCCTGCCGGCCCCTCCTTTGATCTGCCCCCATAGAGAAAGCACGGAGACCCAGTGAGGACATCACCAGGACTAATATAAGGTATGTAATTAAAAAAAAAGGTTATAAAATTTGATCGCTGTTTTAATGAGGGGGGAGGGGGAGGAACCAGGGAAGGCAAAATATAAGCAGATTAAACTTCAGCTTTAAGCCCCGTAAGGAATTCAAGTCCTCGGCCAAGTATCACTCGTACATTCCTTCCCGGGCATTGAGGAGTTTGCTGTATGCAAACGGCTTCAACATTATGTATGTTTCCTAAAGAAGAACTCCCCCCGCTGAGAAGATGAGTCACAGGGACAGAGCGTTGTCACCCTATAATAGGAAGTGCCTTCGTGGCAGGATCACTGGATATGCTGATGTAAAGATGAAACGACTTCTGGAATGCCATCAACATGTCACAGCTGACGTCAGATATTGGGGAACCGGATTGACGTACACTTTAAGGGCTTGTTCACACCAATTGCGGTGCGTTCCAGAGCGGTAGCTGCTGGAACGCACCGCAATCGCTCACAAAACTTCCCCCTGCGTTCTAACGGAACGCAGGCATTGTCCTGACCACGCACCCTATCACACTGCGAGCGTTAAGGGTGGGCGTGGCTGCGGTGCCATTGACTTTAGGCGATGATGAAGTCAATGGCAGAATTACCGTTACCGTCCAGAAGCTACCGTTCTGGAACGCACCGCAATTGTTGTGAACAAGCCCTAATAAATTCATTTTTATTGTGCATAGCTGCGGCAGATGAGGGCGGTGTTCGGGAATGGAGGCGGGGCCCGTCGATAGCAGAGGAGTCAGGGCCCGGGGACGGAACAGGAGTCGGGGCCTGGCGACCACAGAGGCGCTGACAGGTAAGAGATCTCAGACCCTGCAGAGCCCACTATAGAGAGTCTATGGTGGGCTCTGCAGGGTCACTGTCCGCTGGGGCTCTGCAAGTGGCATGACTAGCAATCACGGGGCCCCATACAAAATTTTGCTATGGGGCCCTGTGATTTCTAGTTACGCCCCTGCTCTAAAGGTTGCTTTAGAAATACGCCAATCACAGAAGGACACAATGCCGAATATTCTTCGATCTCTTTAAACACATGCACATCTTGTATTATATTGTGCTTTGAAATAAACATTCTTTATAGATACATCCCGATATCAAATAGATCTTTTTCTTTTTTGTACAAGCCACGGATACAAATAAAGTTATTTCAAATAATCTTTTGTAGTCTTTGCATTCCTGAATGTGCATTCCATTGCAGCTCCCCGGGAGGGGGCGGGGGAGGGGGTTATAGATTCTGTCCAGGCAAATA